TGATCAACTAAAAAAGGAGGTTGAGAAGTTAAAAAAACTAAATGCTTAAATGTTTACTTTGTCAGCAAAGAAAACCATTAGCCAATTCTCTGCTCTGTTGAATTTGTCAACTAACCCAATTGCCCTGAAAATAGTAATTTAAATTTATGACTAACTCCCAACTATTAATTTTACTGGCGGTCTTGCTGGTTCTTTACCTTTACTGAAAAACTCAACAACAACCTACTCTAAAACCAAAAAAAGACTCGGGAACTAAAACCTTTTGAGATGCTAGTGATTCGGAACTAGATTCCGCTAGTGAAAGCGAGGAAAATAATCTGCCAGTTGAGCAAAAAGATTGATTTACGGAAAAGCATTGACTATCTGACCGAGAAATCGACTGAGCCTTAGCGCAAGTTTTTCAAGAATTACCAACCGAACAAACCAGTAAGTATAAGTTCTTCCAAAGCACCCAGTTTATGTTCACCAAAGAAGCCATGGCAACTAAAGATACCGAAGCTAGTGTTAGTTTTCCGGTTCTCCTTAGTGAACTGACTGGAACCGAAGCAGAATTAGTTTTTATCCCGGTTAACAATCCCGATTTTCACTGATCGCTACTAGTTTATGAAAGCCAAACCAAAAAGTTTTATCACTTTGACACCCTCAAAGGAGCTAATGATAGTTATGTCCAACCGTTAGTAACTGAATTGTTGCAGTTTTTATTAGCAAGTTGACAAGATCCGCAATTCCATTACCACACTAATTACCAAATTAAGCAAGGGAATACCTGAGATTGTGGGATTGCCGTAATAGAAATAACAAAGCGGATAATAGTTAAACAGTCTCTCACTAATTTAGGTAGTTTTGATTTTCCCTCTGCCCGAAAAGAGTGAAGGGAGAAATTAGCAAACAGTTATGACTAAAGACCAATTACAAGCCGAATTAACAGCCAAAGTTAAACCTGGCATCAAACCGAGCCATTTAAAACGTTCCAAGTCGTTGGGTGCTATTCCTAATGCTCCCCCTTTACCAACTAGTCCCGAACTAATTGCTTGCCAAGCCGAGAATGCGGAATTAAGAAAGCAAATAATTGAGTTAGAAAAAGACTGAGAACCCATTTTAGATAACTTAATCAAAAATATCCAACAACTAAATCAACAAATCAAATAACATGCTCAAACAAAAATTAGAACTCTTAACTAAAGAATTCACCACTCTCAAAACTAAAATCACTACTAAACTCCAATCCCAACAACAAACGATTACCGAAAATAACGCTAAACTCACTGAAAGCAACCGTAAATTAGAAACCACTCTCAAAGAAAACTCGGAAAATGAGAAAGTATTGGAACAATTACTGAAAGAATTTCAAGAATTAAGTCAACAACTAAACTAAAATGATTAGAGAACAAGCACTAACTGAATGGAATAGCTTAAAAACCAAACTCCTAACTGAAACTAACTTCTGTAAAATCTTGGTCAGTTGGTAAATTAGTTAAATTGCTTTTCTCCCGTATTTTGCTTATTAATTGAAAAACTTTATCTACTTCAATCGCTGAGTGTTCATATAAGATAATGTTGGCAACAATTACTTCCTCATTATGATTTTTACGAACAAATTCCCTACCCTCTATTTTTCCTAAATTGTTTAATAGATTTTCCTCAACCATTATTTCAGGCTTGTTCGGCTTGGCTCAGTTTAGTACTAGATCCCCAAAAAGTACCTTGTTTGACAATTGACTTTGGGCTTAAACCGCTTGTTCTTCATAGTATATTTTCTTCTTTACTAATTGGTTTACCTTCAAAAAACTTTCTTCAATCTTCATCCTATCGAATGCTGGCAACAAAAGATATTAACTGTTCTTTGTCTGCGGCGCTGGCAATTTCTGTTCGTTCATCATCTCTGAGTACGATATTACGACCGCTTTTATTATCAATTCACGGATTTCCTTCATCGTCTAAAAAGAGAGCTAGTGCCTGATATAACTTTAATTCATAATTTGCTATTTCGGCTGCCCTTTCGCCGTGGACAATTTGTTGTGCTGGTGTTTT